CTTATTTTTAATCTTAGGGAAAAACATTCAGTATTTCACCATTAACTGTGATGCTAACTACAGGTTTCTTACAGATTTTTTTTTTTCACCAAGTTGAGAAAAGTTTCCCTCTGATCTTAGTTTCCCAAAAGTTTGTTTTGGGGTCATAAATAGGTTTTGAATTTTGTCAAATGCTTTTTCTGTATCAGCTAACACAGCATGTGTTAATATTCCATTGAGTATATATGCCACATTTTCTTTATCCATTATCTATTGAGGGACACCTAGGTTGGTTTCATAGCTTAGCTATTGTGAATTGAGCTGCTATAAACATTGATGTGGCTGCGTCACTATAGTATGCTGATTTTAAGTCCTTTGGGTATAAACCAAGGAGTGGGATAGGTGGTCGATGGATAAAGAAAATGTGGTATATATATATACTCAATGGAATATTACTCAGCTTTAAAGAAGAATGAAATTATAGCATTTGCCAGTAAATGGCTAGAGCTGGAGAATATCATGCTAAGCGAAATAAGCCAATCCCACCAAACCAAAGGCTGAATGTTTTCTCTAATATGCGGATGCTAATTCACAATAAAGTGGGGGAGCACTAAGGAAGAATAACATTATCTTAAATTAGGTAGAGGGAAGTGATGGGAGAGGAGGGGAGTGGAGGGGAGGGGATGTGGGGATAGGAAAGATAGTAGAATGAAACTGACATTATTACTGTATGTAAATATGTGACTGCATGACCAATATGATTCTGCAGCATGTGCATCCAGAAAAATGAGAAATTATATCCCATCTATGTGTGATATATCAAAGTGCATAAATGCATTCTACTGTCATGTCTAACTAATTAAAACAAACAAACAAAAAAGAATCATCACTTGTGGTTCGGTGCAGTGGGGCACACATGCAATCCCAGTGACTGATGAGGTCAGCCTCAGGGCAGGAGAATTGCAAGTTCCAGACCAGCCTCGGTAATTTAGTGAGGCGCTCAGCAACGTAGTGAGACTCTGTCTCAAAATTAAAAAAATTAAAAAGGCTGGGGGTATATGTCAGTGGCAAAATGCTCCTGCTTCAATTCCCAGTACAATTTTTTTTAAATTTTCTAACAGCATATCCATGTGAAGTTTGATATTCTCCCCATGCTTCAACCAAAACATTGTATCTAAGAAATGGAATGCAGAAGCCAAAAGAGGATCCAGCTGTCTGCTACTAAACCAGACATGAAAGAGATTCGCAGATGTGCAAGACTATATTATTCTCTCATCAAATTTATTTTCCTTTCTAGAGTTATTTTCATAAAAACATTTTTGTGTTAATTATTGAATAATCATTATTGTTAAATCAACATTATTTAAAATAATCATTATTGTTAAATTAATAATTATTTCAAAATTTCCTTTTAAAATTTCTAGTAGTAAATATTGATAGACATAATTTACCTAAATAAAAATTTTTGGAGTCTTCAAAAAAAAAAACAACTAAATTTTCTTTGCTGACATTTTAAGAGTTTCGTGTTTAGATTCACATGGGACATTGGTCTTCAGTTTTTTTTTTTTAATTCGTCCTGCCTTTGGCTTTGGTTATCAGGGTGATACTGGCCTCATAACATGAGTCTGGAAGGGATTCTTCTTGGGTTTTCTGGAAGGCTTTGTGTGGGGTAGATTTGTCGTTCATACTTCTCTATATGTTCGGTAGAATTCTCTGGTGAAAGAAACCATCTGGCCCCGAGGATTTCTTTGTAAGGAGTTTTAAAGTTACTGATTCAATTTCCTTAACAGTTACAAAGCTATTTAAATGATCTGTTTCATTGGTTAAGTGAAGGACAAATGTGATTTTCAAGGAAGCGGTCATTTTTGCTTAATTTGTCAAGTGTATGTGAGTCATTCGTGGTATCTCCTTATCCTTTTGATAACTGCAGGACTGTTTTCTTTAACCCTTGCTGGCTGGCTCTTTACCAGTCTGACAGGTAAAGACTGAGGTTAGGTTTTCCCATTTTAACCTTAATCAGATGGATCATGTCCTGTTTCTGTGATCCATACCCTTTGCCCTTCTCTCTTGGTTTGTAAGGTCTCTTTCTGGATTATGGAGAGTACCCTTCCTGTCATCTAGATTACATATAATCTTCCAGTTCGCAGATCTCTCTTTCTTTTTATAGTTTTTTTTTTTTGTTTTGCCACACATACCTGTTTTTATTTTTCATGTACTTAAATCAATCAATATTTAAGGCCTCTGGAGTTTTCAAGTTGTATCCATTCATGGTTCATTAATTTTAAGAGAAAGAAACCCAAAGCAAACTAGTTTGAGAAAAAACAAACAAAAAATCTAAAGAAAACAAAAGGAAGTAATGTTGGCTGATGTAAGGGAGCATTGAAGACGTTGAAGAGATAGATCTCTGTGTGTCTAGATCAAGGATCTCAAGAATCTATCACCAGGCCCCTGTCTCCGGTCCCACGGCTCAGCTTTTGTTTATATTTATGTAGTGATATCATGTTTCCTGAGGCAGAGAGGCTCCAGGTGATGATTATAAAAAGACTGCTGGCAGTCCCAGGCTTATATTTTAATGATTTAAGATCCAAAAATAAAAGACTTTAGGATCTATATATCATGTTCCACGGGAAGTCTCAAAAGGACCCTGCCTGGGTTGTACGCTCTCTTCTCTCTTATCTACGGTCCATAAAAATGAGGGATGGCACACCATGATGGATCCTTCCCCCAGCTCAGTGGCTGATGGGCAGGTGGGATCCTGATCAGAATCCCAAGCTGTGGGCAGCTCCCTAGAAAAATGATGGACAGGTAGAAACAAAAGAAGTCCCCTGAACAGGTCAGACATAGAAAAGCCATTGCTGGCCTATATATAGCCATATTCCTTGGTTTCAAAGTTCAGCCCATGGTGAGCTGACTCCATTGCTCTGGGCCCAGGGTGAGGCAGAACATTATGGTGGACAGAGAGCCGTTGAGCTCTTGGCAATCAGGAAGCAGAACCCAAGTGGGTTCTTCTTCCTGGTTTTGTTTTTGCAGTGCTGGGAATTGAACCCAGGGCCCCATATCTGCTAGGCAAGTGCTCGACTCCTGAGCTGTACCCTCAGCCCTCCAATCAGGTTCTTGACTTTCTCGGCTGAAAAGAATTTCAGAACCCATTGAAAGCAACGGCACAGGCAAAGGTTTATTAAAAGGACAGCGAACAAAAGTATATACACTCCCAAGGCAGGGTGCAGACATCCCTCTGGTGTCAAAGAAGAGGAGACAAGTATTGTCCTCAGGGTTGAGCCTCCTACTCTGGAAGTGATATTCCTGGGAAGAGAAGTGCAGGTTCCCAGGCAAGCTTTTGTGAAAATCAAATCCCATGTCAATCACTTAATGTTTGGAGTTTAGAATGTTTCTTCTTGGTTAAGCAGTCTAGCCATAAATCAGTTGTGGGCACGTTGTGGAGGTCTTTGAATCTGGTGACATTTAAATTGATTGTGTTTTTGTTCCAACTGAGCTGGTACAAGCATACGTTGGATCTGATGTTCAGGTAACCAAAGAGACAAGGATGGCTGGTCTCACAGATCCGGGTCTCTTTTTCCCTCTCCCCGAGAGCCTGTCTATCTCATAGGAACACTGTAGCTATCATAAGATTATAAAAATAGGGGAAAAGGCAGACCTTGACTCCCACCGCCCACCAGTGTCCTGAGAGGGATGGGAGGAGGCAGGGTGAGCCTCAGAGAGAGGGTAAAGGACAGAGGTGCTCAGGAGACTGGCCGTTTCCTGCCACCTGTATGTACACCGTCAGGTGGGTGCCATCGTGCATAGACCCCCCCAGTGGTGGACACATTCTTTCAATAAATATGTCCCCAAACGTCCAGTGGTATGCTTTTAACCTTAGAGGAATCTTTAAAAATGACCGTCTTATGCTCAAAGCATATCATCTTAGGTTCAACATTTCCTTTATTTTCACCCATTTATGTGTTTTTTTCCCTCATGTAAATTCCAGAAAGAAACTATAAACATTTTGATTTCAGAAGCACACACAGCAAGATCCCATTTGTATGGAATTATTTCCTTGAATATGATCCCATTATTGATCCTTCCATCTCTTTGCATGTCAGCTCTCAAGAATGACTATTTCTAGGTTATGGGTTTTTTTTTTTCTTTTTCACCTAGTAAGCACTTATTTCTGTAAAAAGCCGTAGACATTCTTCTTAAGGAATAAACATAAAGTAGCATCCACGTTCTGCTACTTAGAGTTGGATGTATTTTCCTAAATATGTGAACAGGTATTATCTACTGGCTGTTATCAATTATAAATTCATGGTGCATTCTACCCAGAGCCTCAAAGGACCTCAACGAGAAAGGAAGGGGACAGGAAAATGAACCAGAGGAGGAGAAAAAGCGAAGAGAAACAAACCTGTCAGGCAGACCTGTGGCTTGGGGATTATCAGGCCATGGCTTCAGGGAAGTAACCCTTTTACACTTCTCTGTCAGCTGACTGCTGGTTTTCATCACCTCTGCTGAGAATCTCTTTGCCTTTGGATACCCTCTGTGTGCCTGGAGTTAGTCTTCTTTCCTATCCCTGCCTGTTTTAGTCAGCTTTCCGTTGCTATGATAAAATGCCCAAGATCATCAACTTAAAAAGTGCAAAGGTTTGTTTGGGTTCACAGTGATGGAGGTTTCAGTCCACTGTCAGTCATTCCTATTGATTTTGGGACTGTGGTGAGGCAGCACACCATGGCAGGGAGCATGTGGTGGAACAAGCTGCTCTTCTTAGGGCACCTAGGAAGCAACAACAGAGGACCCAGAGGGATATCTCAGTGCCAGAGTGCTTGCCTAGCCTGTGTGAGGGCCTGGGTTTGATGCCCAGCACTGCAAAACTAAATAATGTCCCTTTGGGGGACATTCGGGATCCAAACTATGAGAGTCCCCATCCCTAGATCAGCAATGCACATCCAGCAGGCGCCCAATAAGAGCGCCATGGATGTGCACCTTCCCACGGTGGCCCTTCTCCCTAATCGCACCTCTTTGTCTTTCAGGCTGACTGGCTTTCAGCTGCCAGCCACCATCGTCAGCATGGCCACCACCCTGTCCCTGCGTCTCATCAGCGACTATGCAGTCAGCGCCCAGGGCTTTCACGCCAGCTATGAAGGTAGGTGCCTGCTGCCGGGCCGCGGGAGCCTGAGAGGCCAGGTCCTGGCCATAGGTGGGCCACGCTGCTGTCCACGGGGCAGGGCCCTGCAGACTCAGAGCTGGGGCCTGTTCTCATGAGGCTGGTTCTGCACCAGGAACTGAGTTACTGCCCTGGCCCCTCCCCCGGTTCCTGGAAACTGAGAATGGAAATCAGAGCTTGGCTGCAGGAGTTTATCCTAGAACCCTTTAACTGGGTTCTGTTGTGTTTTATTTTTTAAATTCTGTTTTCTGCTGGGCTCAATTGCATATGGTGCCCCAGGTTGTTTTGGAAAATAAGAGAGAGCGATGCCCCAAGGTGGGGCCTAAAGGAAGGAAGTTAGGTCTTTGGGGGGTGTGTCCTTCCCAAGTAACAGAAAGAAAAAAAGCAGCTGGAAGGTCAATACAGTGATTGCAAAAAGTCAGATTTACATCATTCCAAGAAAGAACAATCAATTTTTCCTTAATAGCATGGATTAGGGCTGTGGGGTTTGAGCTCTGCAGATGATTTCCACTTCTCTCAGTCTGTTTAAATGTGGTGTTAGAATTCAAATTAACACTAATATCTTCAGGTTATACACTATTATTATTATTAACTTTATTATGTTAGTTCAGAAGGTGGTACTTCTGGATCTCTGTCATTTCCCTGGGAAATTTACATCTCATTAATAGGTAATTAGGCTGCTCTTGGCTAAGACCCGCACTGCTGTTTTGTGTTGAGATCTTTAATAGGCATATTTTAAGACCGTTAATGATAATTAATAACAGTAATGACATAACACCCTAGTAAAGCATGCCAATTATTCTTTCGCTAGCCTTTGTTTAAAAACTTAAAAGAATAAGTGATGCTTTCTTGAATGAAGCTATAGCAATAAGGAAATACACACTACCTTTTGTCTTGGCCAGGAGCACGGCACACAAAGACGAGTCCTACCTCCTTGGCAAAAACCTCCCCGAGTATTATGGGTATGGGAGAGGCAGTTTGATGCTTTAACCCAAGCAATTAAGGGCTCCTGAAAAGATCTCAGTTATTTTTAACTTAAGATTCCTGAGACGGCTCCTAAGAAAGTTCCACATGCCTTTAATTGAGGGCTTCTGACATAACTCCACTCCACTTTAACTGATGGCTCCTGACAAAGACCTACATGTTTTTAAAGTAAGTATGCCCAAGAATACCTGACCTCTTTTTAAAAAATGACCATTTCTTCCCCGAATCAACTCTGTGATCTTAGTCATCCTGGTTAGAACTTCACCCTGGATTTAAACTAATTCTTTCCAAGTTCCTTACTAAGAGAGGCCTTTGCAGGAGACATTTAAGTCTTTCTGGCCATAGATCCTTTTTCCGTATGTTAGACCTGGGGACACGGACTGTGTCTGGGGGTCAAGGAGGGGGACTGAGTCAGTGACACTAAAGGACATGCCTGCAGAGGCTCTGGGAGTGACTGATGTAGGGGTCCCAGCTGGGCCCTGGCTCCTCTTGGTGCCCTCATTTAGCAATCCTTGGGGATCATTGCCTGAGGCCTTAGGAATCAATAAAATTAAATAAAATTTGAAATCTAGTGTCAGTTTCGCTAGTCTTACGTCAAGTGTTTAACAGCCACATGTGGCTTGAGGCTACCATATTGGCAGCACAGACACAGAACTTTTTCATCAGATTCACAAGGGGGGGCCTGTCATGCAAAAGAGGTCACAGCACATCAGGGAGAGGTTAGAGGCCAGCGGGTCCCTCCTCTGTCCTGCCTGGCACAGGTCAGGCAGCCCAGATCTGAGAGTGCTCAGCATTGTACAGGGAACCCCCAGGGCATTAGCCCAGGCCTGTCCTATGCAGCCACATGATGGTGTCAGACCTCCAAGCCACTGGCACTGAGAAAGTACGGTGAGGATCGGGGAACCCTGGGCCAGTGTAGACGGGCTGCTGTAACTCTGGGTTTCTGTGCAGTCACCCACACAGGATTTCTGCACGCTTGTCAGGATGTGTAGCTGGCTGACCTTGTACCACATACTCTGGTGGGTCACCCATAAGCTAAGGCTGTGGCTATCACCGAATCCTGTTGGTTCTGCTCAGGGATGAACCATGAGGCAACTTGTGCATCCAGAGAAAAAGTGATTCACACCTACTTTGGAGACACCCAGGGTGGAGGAGCAAGGAGGAAGGAGGAGCAGGGCAGGCACCCACGTGACCTATGCCCTGGGCTCGCTCTGTCTCAGGGCTGCCCCCCGTCAGGATGGCTCCCTCAGGTTCCCATTCACCACGTAGCGGGCTCCATTTCAAAATGGCATCAGGGCGCGCCTCTAGGTCGCTGCCCTTGGCTGGTGGCCCTGAATGTGCGCTATCAAAGCGGGTTTGATCATCCGCCCTCATCTGGAGTGTGAGAGCAGATAAGGGACTGAGCCGCTGCTGGGGATTTGGGAGAAAGGTAAAGTCAGGTGAAGGGTGTCAGTTCCTGGCTGCCACGGCTTCAAGGGAAAGATCAAAAGGCCAATAGTCAAACCCTGAGATGACAGGGGATGCTCGATTTGTAATCCCCAGGGGCAGGAGCGTGGGCCTCTGGGCGGGAGGGAAGGGGCTGGGCTCTCCTGAAGCACTGACTGTAGGCCCGGGCACTTTACCTACATTATCTCATCTAATCCCCAGACAGCGCCGGGGAGCTGGTCCTATCTCCATCTTACAGATGTACCTCTCGGCTTCAGGGCAGTTGTGTGGCCGCTCAAGGCAACTTGTTGACCAGGAATTTTAAAAGGCTTTTCTTGTCCTGCTCTTTGATCCCTGCAAAAGTCCTTGAGTAAGGCAGAGGCCAGGGACTCCATTTCACAGGCAGGTAGACTGGAGCTAAGCCAGAGGCAGGAAGGATGCAGAAACCCTGCAGTGTCTCTAGTAACCTTCTAGGGTGACTTGAGAGAAAGAGCAGGACACCCAAAACTGGAATGGTTTTTGGTATAAGTATGTCCCAAACATTTTGTGGGCTATACTTACACTAAAACATTGTATGTCTGTTTGAAATTCGAATTTAACAGAGCCTCTGTATTTTTAATTTGTTCAATCTCACAAGCTCATTTTTAGGCCTGAGTTCTGAAAATAGGTCTCAGGAACCCTCACACCCTGGGTTTTCCCGTGTCCTGCTGTACCAGCAGGGCTGTCTGCCCTTGAAGGTGGTGTGCATGCAGACATCTCTCGGTGCGCACACACACAGGCACACTGACACAGGTCCACGGGCAAGTGGGATTATGTCGTATGTGCAGCTCTGCAATCTAGTTAACGAGATCCATGTTCACAAAACTGGCCCTGGTTTGACCTTCCTAATGACCTTCCTAATGACGCTCAGTGAGGGAGCCACGGGTGATTTGAACATACCCCAGTTATTTAGCCAGTCCTCCTCTGTAGACATTCAGATGCAGAGCAGCCTTATACATACAACTTAAGCCCTTGTCTAATTATCTTCTTAAAATAAATTCTTGGGAGTGCAATTGCTGGGTCAAAGAGTTTGCAGATTTTTACATTCTGATATATGATCCCAGAGTGTCTTTAGAAATGTTATGCCGATGCGGGCTTCCGACCACTGTGCACCAGCAGGCCCAGGCTGGCTCCCGCGACCTTGCCTGGGTTGTTTGTTGGTGAGCTTTAAATCAGTTTCATTGATTAAAATGGGTGGAAAAAATGAAATCTATGTGTGGTTATAATTTGCATTTCTTTGATTATAGGTAAGGTGGAGCACCTGTCACCACTTACAGGCCATTTGTAGATCATTTTGTAAATTGCCTGTCCCAGTTTTTGCTCATATTTCCATCGGGCGTTAGTGTTTTTCTTATCTTCTTCATAAGTAGTTTTTGTATATTAAGGATATTAATGCCATGGGCTTCCTTTTGATGTGCAGCCGTTTTAATTTTTATGCCACTAATTTTAAATTCTAATTTTTAAAATTTTTCTCTTATGACATTTCCTTTCCGTGCCCTGCTTGCCAAGGTCTTTTTCTGTGCCAAGATCAGATAACTATTCATTTAAATGTTCATCTTAGTCCCTTCATTTTATTTTTTAATTTTTTCCCTTTGAAGTCCTTCTGGGGTTCAGTTCCATCTGTCCTGGCCCCTGTGACACCCCTTTTTCTGTGTGTGTCATTTTTGCCTGAGTGTGGTGAAGCCTGCGTCTTCCCTAATGGGACCCCCTGGCATCTGTCACCAAAGCCTCTAGTCTAGCTGCTACCCGGGCATTGCCATTCCCACCCCAGCCCCCAGACTTCCCACCTGCCCCTCGCCCAGCCCTCAAAGGTCACATGGAATTGTTTATGTCTGTTTCAGGTTGATCACCATATAAACAAGAGTTATGAGCATCCCAGGATGTCCATCAGGCAAGGGTCTGGATAGGTTTTCAATGCCTAACCCTGGCTACACCTTTGCATTTTAGCATCGTAAATCGCATGCAGTTGCCCTAAACTCGTGGGAAGGAGAGCCCATCTGCGACTGCCGGGTCTCAGTCTGTTAGATCAGTTAAGTGGTCTAGACCTCGAAACAGGCATTTCTTTGTTTAGTGAAGTCCAACTGTGATCTTGGTAGCTCACCATCAACTGCAGGAGGCTTCCTTAAAATTCCAAACTATTCTTTTATAGAAAATGAGGGACCCTCATTTTTGCAAACTGCTGGGTGACCCTAAGGGAAGAGGTGGCGAAGATCAAGGATTAAGATGGTGGCTCTGGGTTGAGATGCCTGGAATCAAACCCCATCTTGTCACGCACTTGCTGTGTGACCCTGGGCCAGCATGTCATTTCTCTGAGCTTCTTTAAATAGGCCACTGTGCCTGTAAAATCAGGATATGAACCATACAGGTGGAGTATCCCTAATCTGAAATTTGAAATACTCCCAAATCCAAAACTTTTCCAGTATCAATGTGATAGCCCCTGTGGAAAATTCTATACCTGACTTCATGGGGTGGGGAGACACCATCAAATCTCGGATGCACCTAAAGTGTTGTATAAAATTATCTCCAGCCCG